ATATATATATATATATATATATATATATATATATATATATATATATATATATATATATATATATATATGGAGTTGCTAGAAGAGATAAGACAACAATATGTGCACCTGTGAACAATTAAAGTAGTTCTAATTGATGATAAAGTAGGGAAACCGATTAAGGTGGTTTGAACACATGTGGATGTATCAGTTAGTCAAGGACAGAACTCAGATTAGTGCTGCTATGTGCCATAGAAGACTTCTTGGAACAGTAGGATTGAATTTGAGGTCACTTTGGCTTTTGTGTTATTGCTACATCAATGATGGAAAAAGATTGATGTTTCAATTCTGATCAGTTGTGAGTGTCATTATACTCGATGCAAGATTAGTTGACATGATTTTTGTGGAAATTTCAAATTCTTGATTAGTAAAATGAAGAAGGTAGAATTAGATATTCTATCACAACATGACGCATAGAGAATATTGTCTAGGACTGATTAGCTGTAAGTGCCAACAGACCTAAAGCAAGAGGAACCACAGTTGTGCTCCACTCTTAAATGTGGCAGCTGCTCGGAGGACAAGGGAAACGATTTTTTCAACTGTTGTTGTGAATAAGATATTAAGTTGAACACTCCACTGTGCACCAATAGGGTATTTGAGATTATGTTTCCATCTACATGTATATATTGCTTCATGATCTGAATGAAGTTATTTTCTGTCTTGTCAAAACAAGTTAGGTGATATGAATGGTTAGATTCTGAACATTACCTGTGTTAAGTTTCACTTTTGTAATTCTAATGTTGACTAAACCAAGCAGGTTCATTGTGATGCAACTATTGCTTTTCCTCTATTGGTAGCTGCAACATTTGCAAGAAAGTTTCAGGAAAGAAACAACAAATTAGCCTGATGGGGGTGCAAAAGGTGATCATCTTATTTGGATTCAAATACCCTAATGTAATCTGCTAACATCTGCAGATGCTGTATTCTTGCAAACCAAAATTTCAAATACTAGATAGCCGAGAGTCTACAGAGGGTCCTTTCAAACTCTATTAAGTTACCCTTATCATTTTGCTCATTATGTCTGGCTGGCTGCTGTAGTTGTATGTTCTGGCAGCCTCTTTCTTGACCGACCAGAGATGAACAGCATGAAATTTTATTAGCGGCAGGAGAATGTAAGAGAGCTTTTTCAGGTATATATATGTATCAATTTTATATTCCGTATTGCTGACATGAGTAAAATATCTGAATAGTTCTTTTGCTTGAGAATCCTCCAGCGTCTGTTCTCCGAAATAATGTTCTCTTCATCTCACCATAGCTCTGTTCTGAATAGTTTGCATGGAAATGAGTGAGCGGTTCCCGTATTGGGGGAATGGTTTTCTGAATTCTTCCTAGGAGTAAATTTTTTTCTTTCTCGGATTTAATACCCACCTAGTGGGTTGGGATTTTGATTCACACTCCCATATGGTCAGCAAAAGAGCTTATGAAGTAATAAAACAAAACATAATAGAATATATTAATATGTACAAAGATAAATATATAGTAGAAAGTTAAATGTAAAATTTTAAATATGCCAAGCGCGGCTTGGGTTGGAGGGAGGCCTAATGCGGACGGGAACGAAGAGGCGCCAAGCTTCGGTTTGTCCGGAATTTAGTTCTACATGGTTTTATTCCAATCCGCTTGGGCGGGGGGTGTTATGGGTTGGGAATTTAGGAATCATGCCTGACTAAGATCGGATCCAACTCATTTGCGAGCCTGGTGGCAGCGTCCGCCCAAGCCCCAACACCACCGCTGCTTGCCCCGCGACAGCGGTGCAACACTCCCGACCTGTTGAAGGCCACCAAACTCATCGCGCTTCTCTCACGGTTCGCATGAGCCGTTGGATCCTCCCTCCTATACTCGCCCTTCTTTACTTCGATTGCATTTAACACGGTTTCGCCCCCGTTTGCGTTTGTTTCCCTTGCAAATCCCCCCGTTCCTTCCCGCATACCCGGTACGCCATGCGACACCGTGCGATCCACTTCGCCCTCCTCCTCCATCTCCTCCTCTCCCTCGCTCTTCTCGCCTCGTCCCTCCGCCCCCGCCCCCTCGTGCTCGTTATCACCAACGAAGACTTCGCCGAATCCTCTTCTAACCCCTCCTCATCCGCCATCACCGACGACTCCGACCGATCCGATGACTCCGCGGAGTGGGACGAGTTTGGCGACCCGGAGTCCTCCGCTGCCGCCACAGGAGACTACGACCCTGGCTCCTGGCTCCCCTTCATCGAGTCCGCCTCGTCTCCCCCCTCCCTCGCCAACTCCTCCTCCGACCCCCTTGAGGCCCTCTACTCCTCCGGCGTTCGCCACATGATTACCGCCGCCTCCTCCTCCGACCCCGCCGACATGGAGGACGCTGCCGCCGAGATCGAAGCCGCGGCCTCCGCCGGCTTCCCCCACGCCCAGTCTGCCCTCGGCTTCCTCTACGGCACCGGCCTCATGCGCCCCCAGAGCCGCCCCAAGGCCTTCCTCTACCACCACTTCGCTGCCGAGGGCGGCAACATGCAGTCCAAGATGGTCCTCGCCTACACATATTTCCGCCAGGACGTGAGCCCTAATTTTTCCCTTCGCTTTTATTCTACAGTTCCCTCTTATATAGCCTTATGATTGTGGTTTTTTTTTTTTTAATCTTTTACTTTGGATTCATCCGCTATGTCCAGATGTATGAGAAGGCAGTGAAGCTGTATGCGGAACTGGCAGAAGCAGCGGTTGCGAGCTTCCTGATATCGAAGGAGCCACCAGTGATTGAGCCTATCCGGATCCACAGCGGTACCGAGGAGAACAAGGATGCGCTGAGGAAGTCACGAGGAGAGGCAGATGAGGATTTCCAGATCAATGAGTACCAGGCATTAAAGGGTAATTCCGCTGCCATGTACCGGATTGGGTTGCTTTATTACTATGGTTTGAGGGGAGTGAGGAGGGACCATGCCAAAGCACTGCATTGGTTCTCAAAGGCTGTGGAGAAGGGGGATCCGAGGGCAATGGAGTTGCTAGGAGAGATGTATGCCCGAGGGGCTGGAGTGGAGAGAAATTACACTAAGGCATTCGAATGGCTCACTCTTGCATCCAAGCATAAATATTACTCCGCATATAATGGGTTGGGATACCTCTACGTTAAAGGCTATGGAGTAGAGAAAAAGAACTACACTAAGGTAAAGTCCCAAACTTCAACTCTCTCAGTGTGCATAAATTTCCTTTATCCCCGTTTTTTATTACTAATTTGTAAATAAAAAAGAATTAGGCACCCCATGTTCTGCTGAAATTGGAGAATGGTGCAGAATTCTTGATCCAAGAACTTAAGTTTCAATTCAGGTGTTTGCTTAACCAGAATTTTAGTTTCAAGAACTTAAATTCCAATTAGTTGCATTGTTCTTTATGACGTAAATCACAGAAGTCAAAGTTTGGTTGGTTTAGTTGAGCCATGTTTGATTATTGTCGGTTTGGATTGATTTTTCATGAAGCAATTTGGTTATATCTGTGTATAATAGATCAAAGTCTTGGGTTGGATTGGGTGATTTCGATCACTATAATTGTGTTTTATGTTATGACGAGTTCATTTTACTAAATCACTTTCAAGACTCCTTTCAGCCAAAGTCAAGATACAGGAAGTGAGCATTTTTGTGAAAGTCCACTTTGGGATTTCTGATGCCCCTTTGGAGTGCTGAACACTTCAAGTCTCTTACCTCCCACTTCTGAATGAATTGCAAATTGCTGCATGTTTTTTGTTAAAACAAATTACCCCTTAAGAGGAACAGCATTAGTGAACTCGTAAATATTCATCTGAATTTTAATGCTGATGTGGCCTGAGGTAAATCTAGCCCATAAAAGTATCACAGATGTAAATCTAGCCCATAAAAGTTTTGGTCTTGTTCTTTTATTTTTTTTCCTGTATTCATCCATTTTATGAATTGAGGCTGTGGATTGTGTTAAACTAATTATAAGAATGTGTTTGGTCATGTGATCTATTTATGCACTATTATATTTCCAGGGTTTGTTTACTTGAAAATGTCACCTATGGACTATGGTATATTACTGTTGAAGACTCTTCCATGAATCTTTCTTCAAGCAAGTGAAAGAATGTTGAAGCATTTATTTTTATAATGTTTCCAGGCTTTGTTAGCTTAAAAACAGCAACTGTGATATAATTAGTCGAGGGCAGTTTTTCTTGAATCTTTCTTCAAGCAAGTGAACAATTGTAGAGTCACTTGTTTTTCTAAACTCTCTCTCTATACTTCTATTTTTTAACTCAAAACTCATTTGCCTTTGAATCAGTTCACACTTTGGATATCAGAGTAGTGATTAAGGCATGATATCAAGATAATACTGGGCTGCTGGATGATGGACAGTTCAGGAGATACATCACTAGCTTAAAAGAAATCGAACTTAAACATTAGAAAACTATGGGATGATTAATATGATTTCCCCTGTATTTTTTTTCTATAAACGTTATTTTTCAACAGGATATAGATAATTGCCCATTTGGGTCCCAATTCTTAGATATTAATATGATGAATTTTAGATTAGATCTTTTAAGTTAATCAGATGATGTCTGGATCAATTTCTATTAGATATTGTGGAATAGATCTTTTTTTTATCTACTTAGGTTTAGTCTTAGATTGAATCAATGAGTTTATAGTATCTATTTAAACCATCAACAACTCTTGGTCATGGCAGTGAAGTTTACTACATGAAAATGTAGCACAATTTCCTACATTGCAGCCTTTGATATACCTTCTCTAATTTATTGTTGGTTGTGATCGTGCTTCAATTTTTAACTAATACCTGCAGGCAAGAGAGTATTTTGAGAAAGCTGCTGAAAATAAAGAGCCTGGTGGACATTATAACCTAGGTGTGTTGTATCTCAAGGGTATTGGTGTGAAAAGGGATGTAGCGGCAGCCTGCAAGCTATTTCTTACTGCAGCTAATGCTGGCCAGCCAAAGGCTCTCTACCAAGTTGCCAGGTTGTTCCAAAAAGGCATAGGCCTCAAGAAGAATCTTCAAATGGTATTATTTTCTAATTTTGTATCTTCTGCTGATTGTTTTATGCATCACTGATTCCTTTTTTTATCTTATTCTAGATCTCTGTCATTAAGTTGCTGCCTGCTATTAGCTTCATGATATGTGTGCTCTTTGGATCCTTTTTATGGCTTTGTATTTGGATTCCTTGTCTTTATATAAGCTTCATAGAAGCTGGAATTTTTGTTTATTACTCTTATGCCCATGGTATGTCATGCAAAAGGTCTAATAGGTTGCATGATTGACCTGTTGTGATTTATTTTCCATTTTGGTTTTGATTGTTTGCAATTTATCAATAATTTCTTCTACTACATGATTGACTTATAAGAGACAATGGCATATCGTAGAATAGCTCTATGGTGATTTAGATCAACCTTCTTATTAAGCAAGGCACTTAAACATCAAGCTCAACCAAATATATCGTGTTCATTTTAAAAGTTTTGAAGGCTGTCAACATATATCGTGTTACACCGTTAATAGTTATGCTGAATTCCTAGCCAAATACAAGTTTGTGCAAGAGAGGATCTAATCAAAAGTCTAAAAGGGCTTGTTGGAAGCCCTCTTTTACACTGTACTCTAATATCTCCTGCCATTTATTTTTTTCCCTTTTATTGAAAATTAGTAGAAAAATGTAATATTAGGAGCTTATAGCAATTCACTCCAACTTTGGCTCTTCTTTTTTTTTTAGAAATTTTGTTTTAGTTGATTCTTCTTTAAATTTCTTGCTTTCTTATCATCAAGCAAGAATGGAAAGCTATGTAAAAATACAAGCAAATCTTTGTGCAATAACTTAAGCTCCTACAATTTGACGTTATGATTCTTTGACAAAATAAAATACTTGCTTACAATTCGACTTTGTGATTCTTTGACCAAAAAATTGAGATCCATATGAATGTCCATCCAGTGTTTTCTGTATTTATCTTCTCAAGTATGTTATATTCATATAGTTATTATATTCTTGACCAGTCTTCCTCTTGTTTCAGGCTACATATTTATACAAAACAGTGGCAGAGAGGGGACCTTGGAGCTCCTTGTCAAGATGGGCTCTGGAGTCCTATCTGAAAGGAGATGTTGGAAAGTCACTTCTGCTATATTCCAGAATGGCAGAGCTGGGATATGAGGTGGCGCAAAGCAATGCTGCCTGGATCCTTGATAAATATGGGGAACAAAGTATTTGCATTGGTGAATCTGGCTTTTGCACAGACACAGAAAGGCATCTACGGGCACACACTTTGTGGTGGCAAGCATCAGAGCAGGGTAACGAACATGCTGCTTTGTTGATTGGTGATGCTTACTACTATGGCAGGGTAATGATACTTTCATGAGCGATTGAATAGTATTAAGTTATTCTGTTATGATGTCAATCTCTTTTCTGATGCCTTGAGCAAATTGTGTAAACTGACATTGCTTCATTAGCTTTAGATTCTTTCCATCGTGCAGAGATCTCTGCTTATCTAAATCTGAAAAATACATTCGACATGGGACAATTTTAACTGCTAGTGTACTTATGTCTTGCCAATGATTAATCATAATTGGTACATTGGGTTTTTTTTAGCTTATAGGCAGTTTAAGATTTTTGAGATGCCTGATGCAATAGGTTTATCTAAAGTTAACTATGATTTTGGTTAGTACTATTATGCCTCACACTTAGTTCTGTACAGTCGGTTTGTTAGATTTATATTGGTTTGGCATGTGTCCAAGTTCGGAACTGTTTATTTCAGGTGTTAACCGTACTTGTGCTGATGTCAGTGCTCCATATTAAGAAAGTTATATTAGACTACTTGAAGTTTAAGTTCAAATGTTATCTAAATAGATAAGATTGCTTTAAAATAACTGGGCTTTCGCCCTGTATGTTCAATATGCCATTTTGTGGTTTTGCATAAACATCTTATGGTTTTTGGCTGCAAACGATATCTTATGGTTTTGCAAATGACATCTTACAAGTTAGGATAATACTAAAAGAAATTAAATTGCATGTTAACTGTCCATTCCTTCATATCTGATATAACATAGAAAGGGTGTTCATAGGCTTATCATGCTAAAGTTTTATATATAAACATTGGTTTTCAACATACCTTTTATCAAGCTATTTGCAATATAATTGTCGTTTATGATTGTTTGGTGTAATTGCTACATCAACTTTGACCATGACAAAAAAGATTTTCATTTCTTGTCACTCAAATCTTTCTTTTGCAGGGAACTGACAGAGACTATGAACGTGCTGCAGAGGCATACATGCATGCTCACTCACAAGCCAATGCTCAAGCCATGTTCAATCTAGGATACATGCATGAGCATGGTCAAGGACTTCCACTTGATCTTCATTTGGCTAAAAGATACTATGATCAGGCCCTTGAGACCGATCCTGCAGCAAAATTACCGGTTAAACTGGCACTTACGAGCTTGTGGATAAGGAAGAACTATGCTGACAGCTTCCTGGTAAGATTCCTTATTTTATTCTCTTGAGGATGAGTTACTTATAAAACAATGTCCCTTACATCATGTCTCAGTTAACTAGTTACTCTTGGATGAAAGTTTATTTTTTATTCTCTCAATCATAGTTGCTAGTCAAAGATTTGAGATCTCTACTTGTTTTGGTTTCGATGATTATCTAGGTTTTTTATTCATGTAATTGTTAAAGTTGTATCAAGGATTTTTCTTCTCACAGGGCTAAAGGACTTGGTCTCTGAATCTGTAGTTTGAGAAAACTTTAGAATCATTAACTTGTTAGAACTGTAATTTGCACCTTTTTTTTTCTGTTGGATAAGTAATTGAAGAAAAAACAAGAGAAGTTGTGGCTGATTTACTTTTTGATTTCCATATATTCTGTGATCTGGTTATAAATCTGTGTTTCTGCATGTACACCTGACAGATCTTAAATGATTTATATTATGAGAAGAAATGGCTATTTGCAGCAAACTTTAACAGTCTTGGTGATCTTTTGAACTATTTATCTGAATTTGTGTGTACCTAGTTCATTAGGGAATACAGAAGAATAGATCACATTGGTAAGTCTTAGATCAATCATCAATCTTGTAAATTAGTTAAGATGAGAAAGATTCTCTCTCTTATTTCATCATCAAATGACTGTTAGGCCTTTGCAGCAACCTCCTGAGGATACATTAAGAGCTGAGATCTAACAACTACTGTGTCTATGTGAAGATTGAAAATGTAGACTGAATAGTGACTAACAAAAATCAACATTAGAGAATTTCCTAATTGTTATTTATTATATCTGGAAAGAGTGACAAAGTATTGATATTGCAATAAACTAGAGCTCTTTGATTGACTGGTATATATGTTTCTTATCTGCGTTCTTATATGGAAAGCTCTTTATCTTGTTTCTTTGATGGTAAACATTTTCTTTTGATTATTACAAAAGTATGATGAAATGTTCTGATGTTTCAGGTTAAAACAATCGATTCACTCCCACAAGTATATCCAAGATTAGAGGCATGGGTAGATGAAGTACTGATGGACGAAGGGAATGTGACAATATTAACTCTTTTCGCATGCCTCTTGGCGGTACTTTATCTCAGAGAACGGCAGAGACGGCAAGTGGTGGTCCCTCGTCAACCTGACGACGATGTACCCAACTAGGTAAAGGAGAAGAAGCTTCTCGATTTATTTTCTGTTGTGCAGAAGTTGAACTTCGATAATGAGTCACCACTAGAGTTTGATTCTAGAGAGACTAAAGCTCAGAATTATAATTACAGATCACCAGATTTCTACTCTTCGCTCAACATTTACCATTTCTTGAAGACTGTAAATATCCTCCTTGACAGCAGCATCTCTTTTATCGATAAGTTTGTGCTCGTTTGTGTACCAAGCCCCATTAGGATTATCCAAAACCATCTAATATCGTAAGTTTGTAACAACCTTAGATTGTCGTTCTTTGCTACTGTAACTTACGATGTGTTGCCACAGAATGCAATAATCTGCCTGTCAAATCTTACGTTCTGCTGAGATATCAGAGACATGCTTTTGTGAGGTTTTAGCTGTTGCTAGGACATTAGGAAGAAACTAAAACTCACACCTGAGTCGCCAATTGCAACCTGACCAACCCGACTTGCAAGACCTGCAGCTGTCCCTATTACCGATCTAATTCTGCAGCCAATTTATTTCTTCTATGAAAAGTATATTTTTGAGAGGGAGATACCATTACATCTATCTACAAGACCCAATCTCGGACCTAAGATTCCATTAGGTCTTCTACCGGGCCCCTCCCCCATCCTTTTGGGCACTGCATCCTTTTTGAGTCCACATCGTCCAATCTATCGATCTGTTTGTTGGTTCACCATCTTCAATTATTTGTGGCCCATCTACTTACACTGTCTGTCATTTAAAAGATGGGGCAAAGGGTACTGTTGCACCATTTCTTGGGGACCCAAAACAGTTTCCTTAAGTCCTTTTCCGTATTCATTCACCAGAGTGAGCCATTCAGTCTCCTCTTTGAGCTCCATGAACATGGATAGCAAACCAAAAGCACCATTCTAGACTGGGATCGATTTCCCTTGTAACTTTTCCTTTCTTCAAGATTTTGGTTGGCTTATGTTTGATTGATTCCTTGTATTTATCTGAGTTCAAATTTATTATTCAATGAGGCCATGGAAATCTTGTTTCCTTGACGTTTATATGAACGTCTCAGTATTTGTTGTTCTCTGTGATAATAAAGTCCCCATTCAAAGCGAAAGATTAGATCGGAGAACAAAAGGGATCGAACATAGTAAGTATTACAGGCAACTGACATTTATTTCATGATCTAAGTCGAGCATTTTATGTGTTCAGTGCCCCATAACTGCTGCTCATCTAACTATCGCCGTGCCGTCGTGAGTCAAGCGGCGACGATCGCTATCTTCATCCCGGACTGGCAGTGGCCGGTGAAGTTGCAGATGTAGTAGTTCCTCCCCCTGGCGAGCGTGATGCGGTCGTTGCCGGAGGTGAACACCCTGGAGCCCCGGGGAGTCGAGCAGCCGTTGTAGCCGGCGGCGTTCACCGCCACCACGTTGTGCACTGACGGGTTGTACTTGAAGACTGCAGCAGACAAAAAAGGATCAGCCGGCAGAAGACTGAGGCCCAGCACGAAGCTGGCCAGCACTCACCGAGCACGTCTCCCGCCCGGAACCGCTTCCCGCGACTCCAGCTGGCCATGTTGAAGGACCAGCCGCCGCTGTCCCCGACGGTGTAGGTGGCCGCCTCCGCCACCTGGACGTGAGCGAGCAGGAGGCAGAGCACCACCAGCCCCAGAGCCACGGCCGCCTGGCCACCTGCAGCAGCACTGCCCCTTCCCTGCGCCATCACGAACGCTCCTGATGCGGGGAATGGTGGTGCCCAAAGGACCCCGTCGCGTGCCTTGGGTGAGGAGGAAGGGGGTGCTCTATATAAGCCTCCAGCGAAGGTGAACACTCAGTGGGGTTGGAAAGAGAATGGCTTACAAAGTCGTCAGGCCTCTTCACTTTAACCTGTCGGTCGAGTGATCAAGATCGGCCAACCACCCACCCCATTACCACACTGCCATTACTTTTGCACAAGCGAGTCAGATTCTTGCAGCAACTTTTGCCGTATCCACGCACAGCAGCAAGCTGGTTAGGTGGGCAGGAGATGGGAGAAATGGGAACGGAGGATCGCAGGGTCGACGGGACGCTAAGAGAATCGGATGATGTTTTGGTGTGGAATTAGGTCTGCTTCAACCCAAACCCACCACCATTTTCCTATCCAGAGATCTCGAAGCTTGTCGACGTAGTAAATCTGGAGTCCATTATAACATGATATGTACCAAAGATTCTCCCTGTGATGCAAGAATTTACCACGTAAATGTTCCCTTTTACTGAAGATTATTTTAGGGAAACAAATGAAGCTGAGTGAGTTTGAGATGTTCCAGGGCATTCTGCTGTAGACGAAAGCAGATTGGCTGGGAACGGATGACGTTGTGTGATGTTGGGTTGACGCCACTCACTTACTGCAGCCGATGCGATGGCTAATCGCACAAGCCTTTGATGAACGGGCCAAGAGAAAACGAAAGGAATGAATGCTTGTGGGTTGCATCAGTGAATACTCGTGATGAAGTCAGCTGGAGTGATTCCTTGGGTGACCACCCCATGAGATGAAGAGAATGAAGCCAGCTGACGGCGTTTCTTGGGCTTTGAGCTTTTAGAATTCTCGATGAATCCGGTCATCACGAGAAGAAGACGAAGGAAGGGATGGCATGGCTTTTCCTACTTCCCTGAAGCTTTCGGAGTCGGTCTTTGCACGTCGAGAATGGTGGGTGGTATCATGGAAAACCGTAACATGACCTGCACAGAATGGCCTGAAGAGAATGGCAGCACCTGGGAGACGAGCTCACGAGATCCTGTTTCTGAGAAGCCCCATGAACCCATGGAGTCGTACGTACGACTGCGCCTCCTGTCGCCGGGATGTCGGCCTCTGATTTGAGCGTGGGATACGCCTAATGTGCACTTCCGATGGCCACAGCAAAACACTTCCTTCGGTTCAGCCATGGCTTATGGTCTCTTTTGCGTGTCTAAGACAGCAAAGAACTGTAATCAAAAGGAATCTGAGATCAGAAGCTCGTCAAATTTCAACCACTGTTACCACAGTTCAATTAAAAGCTCTGTCAACCGAAGCGAATCACAGGAGTTTAACAGCTTGTCATGCGATATCCTATTTGCGGAGAAGGCATATATTTATTCGGTAAATATAAAAATTATAATTATGTTAATATTAAGTATAAAATTTTAATGTCGAAATGAAATAAATTTATGATGTATATCATTCAATATTATTCATAAAGTCTTTATCTAATCTATAGGTGCATCGTTATCCAAATTTGAAAATTATAGTTATATCGCTCTACAATCTTTGAATTTATCTTCTTCTCTCTTCTTATTTTTTACAGAACCATTATGAGATATTAATTATGAATTAATAGAGATTGAGAATGGATCTATAATATATTTTAAAAACTAAAAAATATCTCCTAGGTGAAAGTAAGGATAACTAAGATAGTTACTCCCATTAAGTGTCCTAAGAAATTCTATTATAATTGTAGTTCTTTTTTATTGATCGATAATCGAAAATATAATCCAATCAAATTTATAATATATCTTATCTAATTAGATAAGGTCACATTATCTAATATTCTCTCATTTAACCTAATAATTTAGTAAGATATAAAAAATTTTAAATTTAAAATAAATAAATAATATTTTTTATTTTAAAAATAAGTTTATTTATATGAATTTTAAAATTTTAAAAAATATTTTACATGTGCATATAAATTTTATAAAATGAGTCAATAAATCTAATAAATATAATAATATCATATTAAATCTAACTATCAATACGAGATATAACGGTTATATGTCATCAATATCATATTTTCTTTTATATATCACAATAATATTAGTATTTTCTAATATAGTTAAAAAATAACTTATGTAATTTATTTTGTCAAGATAATCATGTTTTTACATTCATATATAAATATGAACATCATAGTAAAAATAAATAATTTTAGTTACATAAATAAGAATATATCAATTATGATGTGCTTAATACATAAATAAGAATGTCAATTATGATGTATCATCATATCTTTTACGAATTATTCATAAACATAATTATAAAAATATATTCTTTTAAATATTTTTAAATTAATAAATCTATTATAATTAAACTTCTTTTTATTGATCGATAATCATAATTAAAATCTAAATATATGTATAAAATATCTTACCTAACATAATCTAACACTCTCTACCGTAACCATAGTGATTTAGGCATCTAATGAATGTCTAATTCATCGAATAACAAATTATGTGGAATCCGGATCTGCGCAGATAAGGGAGCGCGATGGAAGCAGGCGAATGACAGCCGAACTGTCATCTTCTTCCCTTCCAGCTTCTCAAATAAGAAGTCTGGTGGTTCGCCCGATCTCAGAGAAGGCTGATGGAGAGGTATGTGAGGAGGTATGACAAAGAATGCATGAACGTGACGATGCTAAACCATGCAAGACCTTCCGTCAACAGCTAGGCTTCAAGCTTCCCTACCTCTTGTTCGCTTCGATCACAAGCACGCGGCTCTGAGTTTGTTTCCCTGTCAAGTCCATGAACTCCATCGCCTGTATAGAGAGTTCAGAAGATTTTGATGAAGAGACCGAGGTTCACCAACTACACTTGGTTTAGCCCCGGTGAACGGGTACTCGTTCTTGAACTTCCAGCAAATGAATACACGGACAGAGAAGAAGAAGAAGAAGAAGAAGATACGGTGTCAGAGTTCGAACAAGAGTGTGACGTAGAACTGACTCTGGCCACAGGAGGAAGAAGCACGAGGTTCTGAAGCAAGTTTTCGCTCATCATCAACTGAGTCCGCAGGCAATGGCGTTAAGAATCGCTTGCACTTGGAAGGACTGATAAGAGGAAAGGCTAAAGCAGACATCTTGGCAATGGCGATGTTTGAACCTCAGCATGACTTGTTGTAAGCTTGCATGAGAGCCTCAAGATCTACCGTGTGTATCTACCAACGACGTGATCATCGATTCTTGAGGTCGTCAGCAATCTTGCAATCAGCAGCCCGAGATCGACATCTTCATGGACGAAGATGCTTACCGTGCAGGTCCCTCCGCTCCCCTCTTGACACCCGTGAGGAGACATGGCTCCTCTGGTCCTCCCTTGCTCCACAGCGGGCAGAGCGGGCAGAGCGTACGGCCTCTCTTCTTCCTCCCTACACGACAATCTTGTACACGAAGAATCTTACCCTCTCCGACACGCACTCGGATAAAGATAAACGATGCAGGAATGGTCTCATACCCTAAGGAAGACGAAACGCATGTGACTCCTCTCCCTCATCTTTGTGCTTTCCCCTCAATCTCCTCCATCGTCTTCTTCTTCTTCTTCTTGCTCAGCCTATAAGCAAAGCCTTCCACGACATATAGCTCGAGAGGAAGCTTACC